AGCCGCTCACTTATTTTTTCCAACACTACTAAATATATTTCTTCAGATAGATTCCAGCAAGTTTTAAGAGCCACCTACCTATGAAAATTTTGCACGTCCGCATGTAATGAAAATAAAAAATAAAAAGAAAAAAAAATAAAAATAAAACCTGACCAACATGCTTATGAGGTGCGCTCGCTTTGACAATTTAATTTTTTAAACGACGTGTTTCAACCATTTTTCGGAAAAGGTGGTCCATTTTATCCCGTTTCTATAAATAGAGCAGCCACAGAACTCAAGTTGATCAAGCAAGATTCAGCTCTCGATATAGTTTCTTGCTTGCCCGCTCCTTTCGTTTTCCCTTCGGTATACAAATTGTGAGTTCAAATACTTAAACAAATATTTCTTTGTTTACTCTCTTATCATTAAAGGGTACTCATTTCTCCATTTAGCAGAATCCCAGGTTTCAAAATATGGACAAGGTACAAAAATTATCGTCCGAGAACGGTGTAGTTATCTTTAGCAATAGTACCTGCTGCTTATCCTATTCTGTTCTTATACTATTTAAAGAACTTGGGGTGATCCCTTATGTTCATGAAATTGATCGTGATCCAGAAGGAAAGGAAATTGAAAAAGCTCTCTTGAGAATGGGATTCAATGGCCCTGTCCCGGCAGTTTTCATTGCCGGAAAACTCGTGGGATCCACCAATGAAGTAATGTCCCTCCACCTAAGTGGATCCCTGCTTCCACAGCTGCAGCCATATCAGACTTTAAATTAAATCCACAATTCAAGCATTGTTCGACTAATCGGTGTTGACGGGAAGTTGTCCAACGATTTCTAACGTCAACAAGTATAATATTATGGTTTGTCTAAAATCTACTAAGAAAGTATCGTTCAAATATATTCGAAATAATAAGCTTGGCTATATTACTATAAAGAGCTCTAATGCAGTTCTCTGTCTGTGTATTTAATAGTTTTTAGTGCTTCAATTAGCATAAGCATGTAGCTTAAGCTTTGTGTCAAGCATTCGTTTGCCTAGTTAAAGAGTGAATTCTACTGTGTGTCCTAATTAAATGAAGTTAATTATGTTACTTCCTTGTGATTTTAAAAGTTTATCCATCTCATCTAAGTTATTAGAGTCTATTTATTTATTTAAATTTAGTCTTCAAAAAACTCTTTACATGCATGCCACAATCATTTTCTCATCGAAATCCAGAAAAGTTGTCCGTAGCTCCATGTCAGCTGCAACCGCATCCTGCTTCAAGGCGATGGTGTCGAGCAAACTACTTGTCTTTGTTGGCATTCGGCGATAAGCATTGTTTTGAGGGAGCATAATTTATAGACTTGACATTATGGCCTTTAGGCTTCCTTCAACAACTTTGTCCGTTAAGTAACCAGGTGAGGTTGTTACAAACTAAAGAGGACATATAGGGATATATTTAACAAGGTCAAAGCTATGACAACTCAGCAATACCAATGTGTTTCTCGGTCAAAATTCTAATTTTTATAAATAAATAACAATGAGTTTCGAACACAAGTTATTTGATACCATGTTAAACTAATGATCTACGACAGTTACTGTATTTCAGACATTAGTTAGAATGACACGAAATTTACACTCAACAATGCATATATATGTTGAAATGATTTTAACTTGACCGATACATTCAACTTTATGAGATTCCGTAAAGTTGAAACATAAAATTCTCCACTTATGTAATAAGTATATACATAAGAAGCCATGGATTCAACAACTTTATCCTGGATAAGGAAAGATATAAAATTCTTGTCAACTTTTATCATTATTCTTTAAGAATCTTGATATACTATTTCATATATCAAAAAGGGGGGGGGGGGGGGGGGG